CTTCCATCAGAATCCTTGTTGCCTCTGGATCTGCTGTTATGGGGGCCACAGAAGTCACCTGTGTCCCAGGCTGGACCTGGGCTGTAAGGAGCCTCATCATCCACATCTAGCTGGGGACCCCAGGAGAGTTTGATACTGCTGCTTTAGATAACCTGGTAGAGTAGGACATCTACCAATGGTAGAAAGTGTAACATCATATACTTAGGGTAAATAAAACCTCCTTGGGATAATCACAGAATCATAGAAAAGTGAAGCAAGAAGGGCCCTCAAGAGGTCATCTAAGTCCAACCCCCTGTTCAAGGCAGGATCCTCCCTGACTCAACCATCCCAGCCAAGTGTCTAACATGGTCTTAAAAATGCCCAAGGATGAAAATTTTGCAACCTCTGTTGCAATGCTTGACCACCCTCATAGTCTGTTCTTCCTGATATCCAACCAAAACTTCCGCTGTTCCAGTTTGAAGCCATTGCTCCTTCTCCTGTCCCTTGTGGCCAAAGAGACTAGTCTATGGATAGAAAAAGAACCCAAGTACAAGCCACAGACTCATTACAAGTCCCCCCACAGGATTCCAGGAGCAGTTTCTGGAGGAGCACTGCTTGTCAGGACAAATATACAGCTTCCCACTACGTCTATGATGTGAAGCATGATATTTGTCAGACATGTGCAGGACAACAGCCTGATAAAGAGGGCAAAGCACGGGACTGTGTTGTGGCACCCTTCTGGGGCTCAGGTGTACAGGCTGCTGAGCTGGTACTTACTGAAATGGTGCAATGGACTCAGGAGGGAGGTCATACGTTGAGTCCTTGGTCATCTTGTTAAAGAAAAATTTTCTCTTGGAGTTCTTGCTATACGCCATTGTCCAAGGATCTTGGGGAAAAAGTCATGGGGATTAAACAGACATTAGGATGACAAAAGTAGTATATCAGAGTAAGGGTGATCTGAAAAACTAAACTGGAGATCCTCCATCTTCCCCTTCCAAAAGGCTCTTCTGTATCCAAGCTGTTCTCAATTGAGGAAGCACCCCCCATGGCTCCCCATGCCCAGCCCAGGCCCAGCTATTTCCTTTGGAGAGGACCTTTCCAATTAGGAAATTGGATTTCAAGAAGCAGTCACTATACACCTAAACAAAAATTCCCATGTGGTAGCTAATCCAACCACAGTGGCTGCCATCTTCATCCCAACACTGCCTGCTCCAACCCAATCAAAGCCAGACACAGGTCATACTCAGTCGTTTGGTAACATCACTGACTTCCCTGGAGGTTAGGGCAGAGTAGAGCCTGGCCCCATATTTTTAAAGAATGAAATTCCTTCCTTCCCCAAAAAGCAGTGAAGAAAGAGGGCAGCAGGGCTTTTCCTACCGTTCACAGTCCTAACAATGTAGAGTCCTGTAGGTACAAAGTGCCTGTCGTCCCGGCCAGTGTAGGACAGCCGTGGTATCCCACCCGAACTCTTGATAATCTTCATCTCTAACCTGGGCATCCACAGAAAGACAGAAATCATACCCATGCATAAAGACATGCTCTAAGGTGATGCACTGGAATCAGGGCCACTCCACACATGCAGGTAAAGGCACGATGGGCTCTAACACACAATCTACACAACATGCCTCCTGCCATGCCACATACGTATGACAGGAGGCATCACTGTGGCATCCAGCATCAGATCCTGTCATGCCTTATGGCCGAAACAGCATCCGGGCTCCCCCTGCACTGGCAAATAGTAAGCTTCCACAGCTCCAAGACCCACAGCTGACAAGACTCTCAGCCCTGGCTGCAACCCATGGCTGCTGGAACCATGAGACCCACAGCTGATAGAACTTGCAGTCCCAGCAGCGCATGGGCCCCCCCCATAGCTGGGACATTACAGTAGCTGAGGTCTCCCGGCTGCAGGCACAGACTACATGTGCAAATTAAATCAGCTATAGAAACCACCTATAAAGTTATTACACATTTTACAGCAATAGCCAGCTAGCTATAAAGCTATTTTTAAAGGCACCACGGTTAATTTATAGTTTCATAGTTTCTAGGGTCGGAAGGGACCT